ATAAAAGAATAAATTTCAATTGTTAAAAAAATCAACCAAGCTTTTTTTTTTCTTAATTAAAAGAAAAAAAGATCCTTCGCAAAGAAGAACCCTCGTGTGAATCAAAAGCCATTTGTGAATTTCGATTGTTAAAATCTTTTGTCCTGATCTTTTCCTCGTGTTTTTTTTTCGTCTATCGCTATATAAGAATAAGCTCCACGCAAGCATCAAAAGTCATTTACAAATTTCGATTGTTTTAAAAAAAATCAACTAAGCTTTTTTTTTTCTTAATCAGTCGACGTATTTTATTTGTTTTTCCCGAAAGGAAATTTTTTCATTAATCAAGATTTCTCCAAAAGGAAATCAGATCATTCACCATCTTTCAAATGGTCAAAATAAAAGTTTTTTCTTATCCAGATCACCCACTATCTCTCTTAAATGGTCAAAATCCAAAAAAAAATTTAATTCAACACAAGCAATCAAAAAAATTTTGCACATATTGTTTTTATCATTTTTTTTTTTAAATTGACAAAACGAAATAAAACGTTTTTGAACCCCGGTCTCGTGATCAGAAAATATCACTAACGCGTTTGTGACAAGCCTTTGACGATCCGAGGTAAAGGTTCCAAGACAAGACCATTAGTTTTTGGTCATTTTGAAACGTCGGAGCAAGATGAAGACCTAACAGTAGACATCACGCAAAAAACATCTAAAGCGAAACACGATTTCCTTTCAGTCAAATATCTGTTTCGCTCAACCCTAACGTTTTGAACCAAAACAGATAAGTTTTTCAGTTTCACAAATCATGACAAATAGATAACAATTGGGATTCACACGGCACTGTGACGTAAAATAACCATAACCGTTTATCATTTTTTTGGAAAACGAAAATATTTCAAAATTTCAAATCAATTTGCAAATCATTTCAAGCCAGCGTAGCAAAGAAAAAAAACCTCATCACAAAGTTTTACCCTTTGATTTTGATCTCATCCTTCCCCAAAAATTCAGTTTACTAAAGTTGAAAAACAGGACTTTTAGAATATTCGAGCTGATTCGTGCTGATTTGTATCGTAACTGAACTGAACAGAACAGAATATTCTTTAAAAATGAATTATTTCCCGTGCAACCAAACATTTCAAAATTGGGTAAAGTCGTTAGATTAGGGAAACATACAAAAAAAAGGGAAATATTACAAAAATTACGGCATTTAGTAGGGCACCGTAACACGGAAACCTTTTCTTCTTTTATATATGTTAAATAAAAAATCACGGTTCCAATGATTAATTTAATTTTCTATTAGAAATAGATCAATTAAATGCCAAGTCTTGGATTTTCTGGACTTTACGATCCTTGCGATATTATAAAAAGCGGTCTTCTATTATTTTGTATATACATGAAAATAGTTTTCAAATTAATACAAGTTGTTTTTTTCCGATGTGCTTTTTTTACCCACGTGATCTTCATCCACTCAACGGTTTTTTTAGAAATTGGGCGGTATGGCGCAGTAATAGGAGTCTAAATACACTGGGAGCAAGTATTACGTAAAACTCGTATGAATTGATCGACAAGGGAGATCGATTTCCAAATTTGATATATTCCCTGACTGTCTGTACTCGGTATAATAACATTAAAATTAATATGAAAAAAAATTTTTATTTCAACGCGTCCATTCAGATTTAATTAACCACCATTTGAAATAGTCTAATAAATTAAATCGTACTACTTGAAAATGTATTTAAAGGGTTGGTTTTCGACTTAGTTGAAGAATAATTCTCTTCCTAACTCTTCTCTTGACCATATCTCTTGATATAATCAAAATAACCTTAATATAACAAATTTCAAAATGATTGTAAATGCGACCAATTTAAGATATACGATCAAGAGGAAACATGAACGATGAATGAAAAAATCAAACAACTCAAAAAATTTTTTTTGCATGTAATAAAATTCCATTATTAGCTATTAACAATCTAATTATATAGATCTTGACCGATCAAATCCGCCTATATAGTTATTGAATAATTGGTAATAATAAAACATTAATTAAATATATTTTACAAACAGCTACTTACTTTGATCAAACCCGTCTATAATAATAAACGTTCATTTTGGAAACTTGATTTGCAAATAGATCTTGACTTTAACACTTACTTCTACCAAGCCCGCCTATATAATTATTTGAATAATTGATAAAACGCCCATTAAATATATTTTACAAACAGATTCATAGATCTTGACCTTTAACACTTATTTCGATACAAGCTATTCAATAATCAATAAACCTTCATCAGTATATTTTACAAACTTGCTTTGGAAGTTACGTATATCATCATACGTCTTGTATTTAACAGTTAACTTTTTCTGTTTAATTTTATTTTTTTTAGATTACACAATAAAAAATTATGGAATAAATTTAACCCAATGAAATGGTTGTTATCCCATAAAAGAATAGATTTCAATTGTTAAAAAAATCAACTAAGCTTTTTTTTTCTTAATTAAAAGAAAAAAAGAACCTTCGCAAAGAAGAACCCTCGTGTGAATCAAAAGCCATTTACGAATTTCGATTGTTAAAATCTTTCGTCCAGAACACCCACTATCTCTCTCAAATGGTCAAAATCCAAAAAAAAATTTTAATTCAACACGAACAATCAAAAAAATTTTGCACGTATTGTTTTGTTTATCGATCATTTTTTTTAAAATTAACAATGAAATAAAACGTTTTTGAACCCCGATCTCGTGACCAGAAAACATCACTAACAAGCCTTTGACGATCCGAGGTAAAGGTTCCAAGACAAGACCATCAGTTTTTGGTCATTTTGAACGGTCTGAAATGTCAGAGCGAGACGAAGACCTAACGGTAGACAGCAGTCGACACCATGTAAAAAACATCTAAAGCGAAACATGATTTCCTTTCAGTCAAATATCTGTTTCGCTCAACCCTAACGTTTTGAGCCAAAACAGATAACAATTGGGATTCACACGGTATTGTGACGTAAAATAACCATAACCGTTTATCATTTTTTTGGAAAACGAAAATATTTCAAAATTTCAAATCAATTTGCAAATCATTTCAAGCCAGCGTAGCAAAGAAAAAAAACCTCATCACAAAGTTTTACCCTTTGATTTTGATCTCATCCTTCCCCAAAAATTCAGTTTACTAAAGTTGAAAAACAGGACTTTTAGAATATTCGAGCTGATTCGTGCTGATTTGTATCGTAACTGAACTGAACAGAACAGAATATTCTTTAAAAATGAATTATTTCCCGTGCAACCAAACATTTCAAAATTGGGTAAAGTCGTTAGATTAGGGAAACATACAAAAAAAAGGGAAATATTACAAAAATTACGGCATTTAGTAGGGCACCGTAACACGGAAACCTTTTCTTCTTTTATATATGTTAAATAAAAAATCACGGTTCCAATGATTAATTTAATTTTCTATTAGAAATAGATCAATTAAATGCCAAGTCTTGGATTTTCTGGACTTTACGATCCTTGCGATATTATAAAAAGCGGTCTTCTATTATTTTGTATATACATGAAAATAGTTTTCAAATTAATACAAGTTGTTTTTTTCCGATGTGCTTTTTTTACCCACGTGATCTTCATCCACTCAACGGTTTTTTTAGAAATTGGGCGGTATGGCGCAGTAATAGGAGTCTAAATACACTGGGAGCAAGTATTACGTAAAACTCGTATGAATTGATCGACAAGGGAGATCGATTTCCAAATTTGATATATTCCCTGACTGTCTGTACTCGGTATAATAACATTAAAATTAATATGAAAAAAAATTTTTATTTCAACGCGTCCATTCAGATTTAATTAACCATGAGCGAGAATCAAGGTTTATCATACCCTATTAAAGTTGAACGAGCGCAAAATGTTTTGACCATAATTCCAGAAATTTTACATCCTGCTCAAATCGATGGACAAGGTCATATACAAAGAGTCATACCTGTCCTTGAAGGGAATAATGATATATGGACGGATAGGGAAATAATGGCTCTATTAACTTATATTGACATTAACTATAATTTGTATAAAAAATATATAAAACATTTTTGCAATAGTCTCACCAAAAGTGTTTTCAAAGATAGAAATCCAAAAGATATTGAAAACCAAATTCTAAATTTAAGAAGAATTTACAGACAACAACATACTACTCGCTCATATATGGAAAAGTCAGTGAGGAATTCGGTTTGGTATGATGATCTAGTTAAACTTTTTAATAAAGAATTTGAAGGAATTAAAGCTTTGTGGGAAATTAATATAGAAGATAATCTACGTGATTTTCATGATTTTTACCATCATACTATTCCTTATATTAATAGATACGTTAATTGGAGTGTTGAAGACTCACTTAAAATGATTAATGTCATTGATACATATTTAGAGATATTTATTAAAGATACTGGTGTTTTTTTTCAATGGATGTCTGAAAAAGTTTTTTTAAGGTCTACTTCTATCTCAATAAAAATTAGATTTAAGCATATGATAAAATCGTATAAAGAAAAGAAGTTGGATAAAGAGTTGTTTGAAAGATTGGATCAATTTTATCCAAAGTATATAAAAATGAAAGATAAAAAAAAGGAAGACCGTATACACTCTTTAGAATGGACAGCTGTAGAAATAGTCACTCTATTTAAAACTTTAGTTGAAAATATAAATATATATCTTGATAATAAAAAAGTATTTTATAAATGGATAAAACAAACCATTTTTAAAAATAGGTCATCATACTCTATAAAAAATAAAGTTGCAACTTTTAATCCTAATTCTAAATTATTTATCATGAGAAAGACAGAGAATCTTACTGAAGAGGACAAAGAAATTTATAGATGGGTTGATGAATTTTTTTCAATTTATTTTGATAATAAAAAAAGAACAAAAGGTAATGAATCACAGAAAAAAAGAAACGCTCAAGATGCAATAAAAAGGAAATTGTTAAAACGAAAGCAGTTGTCAGCTTATTATGGAGTTAGTGAAGAATTATTAAATGTTTCAGATGATGATAAAGAATTATCGGCTGCTGATGATAAAGAATTATCAGCTGCTGATGATAATGATTCAAGGTACTTTATATATATATATATATATATATATATATATATATATATATTCATTTACATTAATAATATTAATAGTGATTATATTTTTACCAAAAGTTTATGTGCTTCAGAAAAAAATTATTGGCCTAAGCCTCCAAATGTTGTGGATAGGTTTGTGGATTTTTTATAATATAAGAGACAAGAAAACAAGAAAACAATTAATTTTTTAATATAGTGTTTGTGTATTATTATATTAGGGCTTTTCACAAATACATTCCTTCAGATTTATTTGATCTTGATGCTGTACAGTCTTCAAGTCAAAATATTGTTCATGCAATAAATGCAGAGGATGATGAGGAAGGTTGTGCGGATGATGATGTTAAATATGCATTTTCATATGGATTAGAGAAGCCATATCGACCTTCGATTAAAAGTATCCATCAACCATTTAAGGGCTGTCTTACCAATCCAATTGATGGCTTTATAACTCAAGAAATCAAAGTTCTTTTAGAGATGATTAACAATTTAATAATAAGTAACCAGTCACTTTCCGAACGTAATAATGAGGAATTTCAACAAAATAAATTGTTTTCAGCTTCACAAAATCATTATACATCAGTGTTTGTTCATTGTGCCTTAAATCAAATTTTAGATTCCATTGGATTTCTTTATACTGTTAACTCTCAAAAGTATTTCGTTATTTTTATATTACAAAAATCTATTTTTTTGTGGGAAGTTGCATAAATGCTAGGTTATTTAAATTGAATTTTACTAATATTTTAGATGTACAAGTAAAAAGCGAAAAAAGCCCCAATTTGATGTTGATGATGATGACGATGACGATGATGACGATGATGGTCATGGGGAGTATACCAAAAGTAAGATTTTATATAATATTTTGATTACTTAACTATATATCCATGTCAATCACAGTTATTCAATATTTATAATTTCATATAATAAGATACTACGGAAAGTATTGAGGGAAACATTACATGGATACATACTACTTTTGTACCACAGTATATTTCATCACTAAATGACGAATATAATGTTGATGATGATGAATTTAAAAGTGGACCATTAATTATTGTTGATGACGATGATGATGATGATGATGATGATGATCAGTCAATGATTTATGATTTCTGTCAACAAAATGAAGACGCGGCAATTAAATGGGATGCTGTATTACATGCAGCACAAATAGCTGGAATTGATCAGAGGCAAATATTTTGGATATTGTTGATAATAGTCGCATACTATCTATACATATTATATTAATTAACTCATTTTTAATTATTTTAGTGTAATTAAAAACACATACAATCGTATTTCAAAATATTATGACAAAGATAGACAATTTTCAGGTATTTAATAATGATTTTATTGATTAATAATGGGAATAAACTACACAAGTTGATTAACATTATATAACTTTTCATTAGCCAAATGGGGTTCGTTTTTTTTTCAGGGCAAAATTGATGATCAATCTGAAGAAAACTATTGATCAATTAATTACTTTATCATTTATTATTTTATTGTTCGCATATTAAAACAAATTATAATTAAAAATTTATATTTACAATCAATTACTTTATATATAAAAACATAATTAATCTTGATGGCCTTCCCATACTATACTATTTGGATTCATCATCATTGAAATCGTGTTGTAACATTCCTTTGTTATTGTTCTAACAGTAATTGTATGGATCATTAAAATATTTGTTAACTATTTCATGCATTTGGGGTTTGTCAATTGTCAAAGTTTTAAAATCCAATTATAAATATTTGTTTTGTGTTATTAACAAGCGGAAAACATGTGGGGTCCTCTAGCAAAAGGTACCTTAAGTTATAATAAATATTTTTGAGCAACAATATATAAATTAAAAATTTCAAGCCTCGTATCTCATTTTTTTTAGTAAATAAAGAGGGGACAGATTCCTTCACCAGTTATAATCCTTATAATATAAATATATATTATGCAAAAAACCCAAGTTTGGTTAGAGGGCATTTTTGCTAGAGAACCCCCATATAATGAATGACCAAATTATTTTGTTAAATCTTACTGACCAGGAGAAGAAAGTGTGTTGAAGAAGTGTTGTCTAGTATATTGACTAGTGTTAATGGTTTGTGTAGGTGCATAGATTCTCGGGAAGATGGTAAAATGGAATAAGGAGTTGATGCACCAATGGCAATTCCTAAATGAGGACCCCGAGGATTTATAGTGCAACCACACTTGAATGAAATACATGATGGGTTGATACACTCAACAGCACCATGTATTTTGACACTAGTGATCTTGCCATTGATGATTGTGCAAGCCTAGTCTGTTGGAAACACCATACACAAGTTTGTGAAGATTGATATTCATTAGTCATTCCAACAGAGTAAGCAATATCTTCTATGCTACTCCTTCATCTTACTACCACCTCTACAATTATATGAGAATTAACACCCATACCAGTTATACCAATTAACACAATTGACAGGATAAATGAATGTGATTTTGGACATTCAAGGTATGAATATTGAAGAGAGCAAAAGGTGTGATGGTTTTACAAATCACATCAAGCTGTGATGTGCAGTTGATGATGACAATAGTGATTGTGATAATGATGTTGATGAGGATGCCGATAAGGATTGTTTATTTTGGACTTTTATTTTACATAATTCCTTTCTGCAGCATCAAGTTTTGTCCGTGTTCTCTTTGTACAAAGCTGTTGATTATGGTGATCTTCAATTGAGATTTGGAATATTCAAAAATTTTCAGATCTCAACCAAACTTTTGATGGATTTTATGAGCTGAATTAATTTCTGACATGGTCTAGGCTGTTTTAAGAATATGTTCCTTTTATGCAAGAATATGTATAATTTCCACTGCCTTCTTATTCTACGATTTTTAAGAAATTCTCAATGCTTCATTTGTTTAAAGCATGTGAAACTTCGTTGATGTAATTTAGAAGTTTTATTTTACCAAGATGAGGGGGAGGATGATCAACATCCGCGTGTTCGGTACTACTGCCATATTTAACTCCCAATGAGCATATCTCGCATTTTTTCAAAAATTATAAAATTTTTGTATTTAAGAAACTTTTGCTATAAAATTCATAAAGAGGAAGTTAACGGTAGTGATAGAATCCAAAGTGACAAAATGGATACTATTCACGGCAAGGCAAAACAAGCATGAAAGGTACGTTGATGCATGCTCCAGATTCATAATAAATTTGGATGGGGGTTGAAAAGTTGGTCCGGATTATTATAATTGAGGCAGCGGTAGTTTTGGTCATGTCCAAAATCAGGTAAAGCGATTTTTAAGTCATATGAAATTATGGGTAGAGCAAAAAATTTAAATAGAAAAATAAGCAAGGGTTAAATTGTAATCGATACAGAAAAGTTTCGTGTCCTTTTCCATTTTAAGTAAATTTTCTAACAAATTTGTTATTATTTTCATTATTTTTTTTCAAATAATGTTTTCCTAATTCTTTGATTTTGAATTAAGTTTTTGTGTAAATAAAAAATTTGTGATACAAGATTACTAAAATTAAAAATCACACCTGTACTTGTTTTTCATGACATTGATATGGGTGGCATTCAAAAACCCAAAAATTTAATTTAAATAATAAATAAATAATAAATAAATAAGAAAACTAAACATCAATCCTTTTTTTTAAATTTTTCTATTCAACCATGGATTACCCTGAAGAAGAGTATAATAGTGTTGTTTGGGACACAGGAGCTTTGAAACCTGATGAATTGTCAGAGGAAGAGGATAATGTAGCAACAATGACAACCGGAACAACAACAGAGACACCATTTGTAACAACAGACCTTAGCGAGTCAATATCAAGTAACATAGACGAAAACATGTTTTCGGTTTCGGTTAGTTCTTTTATTTTAAATAATTTTCCATTCTATACATATTGTTGTGTTCATATATGTAAATTGTATTTGTGAGTTTAATATTTAATGAAATAAATAATAAACCAATGATTAATTAATCAATCGATTAATTATATAATAGACACTTGCCCCCTCACCCATTAATAATTCCTTTCAATCAGGATTTATTAATCAGAACAATTCCTTTCAATCAGAATTTATTAATCAAACCAATTCAACACAGTCATTATCACCCAATATCAATATCCCAATTGCTTTTCCTATGACTATTACAGTAACAGATCCAAAAAAGGAGCTTGATGGTACTAAAGATGCGTTCATGTTGTATACAATAACTACAAAGGTAGCAATTTTATTTTCTTGATTAAAGAGAAAATTCTGTATATTCAAACGCGTTTTGGTTTGGAAAATCAACAAGATTAAACAACGGAAAAAAGGTTATTTATACACGCTAGAAACCTTGAATTAAACACGTTTGAATATACAAATTATATTTATTATCTTCAGGCATTTGTGACGGATAAAAATGACCATATTTTTTATTAGACCACTTTAGAAACTTTTACTGCATCTACAGTGAATATAAAACGAAGGTTTCAAGATTTTGTATTGTTGCATACATTTTTAAGTAACGATTTTCATGCCTGCGTAGTCCCTCCTTTGCCAGATAAACATAGAATGGGTAATGAATTTTTAAAATTTAAATAGTATTTTATTATTCATCGATTATTAACGCTATCAATGTGTACAATTAGAATATATTACTGGTGATCGTTTTTCGGATGAATTTGTTGAAAAACGTCGTGCAAGGTTTATATTTTTTATAATTCTAAATTATATTTATTTAATATAGATTTAACATCAATAACTTATTTTATTATTATTATTATTATTATTATTATTATTAAACAGTCTTCAAAGATTTTTGGAAAGATTAGCTAGACATCCAGTATTACAAAAAAGCGAATATCTTAGAATATTTCTGGAATCAAGAGAATGGGTATATGACATATGTATATGCATATATATATGATAAATTTTTATGAAGATATTAATAACCGTTTTTTTTTTCCCAATATTGAATGATGACTATGATGAATAGAATGCTGAATCTTTGTCCATACAAAAGAAAGCAGCCGGTGATGGTATTTTGGAACATTTAGGAGATGCTTTAATTAATGCATTTTCAAGAATGAAAAAACCAGATGAAAGGTTTGAAGAATTAAAAGAAAATATAGATAAACTTGAAGAAAATTTACAAACAGTTGAGAGATTATATCAAAAGATTATTAAAAGACAAACGGGTAATTTATTATTATATAATATTATAATACATTATAATATATAATATATATAAAATTATATTTATAGATCTGGAAGCTGACTATAGAGAATTTGGTAGTACCGTTTCTGGGTTGGGACAATTAGAAACAGGATTGACATCTCATTTAGAAAATTTTGGTGAAACTTCATCCAAGTTTGCTGACGCTTGGAAAGAATTGGTTTGTAAAGATTTAAATGAATTATAATAATAGCATTAAAATCGATTGATCGATCGATTTATTTAATGTTATACTTACATTAATACATATATTGATACATATATTAGACAACAAAAGAAGAAAATGAATTTATGATTCAGATAAGAGATTTTCTTAATTATTGTCATTGTGTTAAGGTAAAGATGTTCATACATAATGTACAAAATATTACTATAAATACTATACATTATTAATATATATATT